TATAGACACGTGAAGGTGTCTGAAACATGTGTCAGGAAGTAAAAACGTACCCGGAGTATGGATAGTATGACGATGCACTTTGCCAATCTGATAACTAAGACAATGTTTAGTCCACTGGCTGATATCATAACCCATACTGCTCCAGCTGAATCGGTCGGTAATGAGCTTCGCGGTAAATCTAATACTTGGATATGATAGTCCGCGAAAATAATTAAAAATTGTTCGACGAAATGATTGTGGCACAGAGGACTTTGGCTTACAGGTTGAAACATCACAATGAAAGTGTGATAAGTGCCATAAACGCGGCCACAAGAAAGACGTTTGCCGTCAGTCCTGGCCAAGAAACGTGAAGCAGTCCTACCAAAGGAAGAACTTCAGAAAGCCTGACGCAGAATTACTGTCGGTGATTGCCACGTTTCACAGTGATTCTAGAATACGCCGTCGATTTCTCCCTGTGCCTATCAACGGAATCTCAACCAGGCTGCAGTTTGATACGGCATCAGATATAACGGTTATTTCCAAGAACACTTGGAAGCACATAAAGAAGCCGAAAGTGGTTTGTTCCGACAAAGTCGCCCACAGCGCATCCGGTAGAGTGCTGATGCTGGTCGGAGAAATAAATTACAAAATTGCATTTAACGGAATGGAACAGACCGGAACCTACTACTTGTCTGACCCACCAAACTTGAACCTCCTTGGACTTGACTGGATGGAAAAATTGCAACTGTTTGATGTTCCAATGAGTCAGATTTGCAATAGAGTCCAAACCGACCCAGTCCATGCATCATTGTCGATAGAAGACATGACAAGAAAGCTAAAGCAGAGTTTTGCCACCTTGTTTGAAGATGGTCTCGCCCACTGCACTACGTTCAGAGCAAAGTTGTGCCCTCGTGAAGAAACCAAGCCAGTCTTCAGAGCAAAAAGACAGATACCGTATGCAGCCATGACAGCAGTTGATCAGGAGCTCGACCGACTGGAACGAGCCGGTGTCATCACACCAGTGAACTACTCTTCATGGGTTACGCCGATTGTCGTTGTGAGAAAGCCGAACGGTAAAGTGCGTGTCTGCACCGATTTTTTGACTGGCCTAAATGTCGCATTGGAAGACCATCAATATCCCCTCCTGAAACAGCTGCCGTGGTGTCTGCTGCTAGTCTGGGACTGAGTTGAAGCCTCCTGGAAGGAGACCTTCGCCTGTCGGTCCATCGCCTTGGTTGTAGTGTTCTGGATTCCAATTCAATACTCTGCGGTCTGGTACCATGCGTCTGATGACAGGATTCTTCTACTGGCTCTTTAGGCAAGTTGAAGCTGTCTGTCAACAGGTCAAATGGAGGCCCGGCGGATTCTGTTGCTTGTGGCTGACACATTGTTGGTCGCAGTTGGTTCGCATGGCATACCCATACCTGCATTCTAACCAGCACGTCGTAAATGACGCTTCCGCGCTTGCCCTGGATCATGCCTGACGACCATTTTGTATGTCCATCCCGATAATCACATACACATACTGGCTGACCAGGTTTAAACGAACGTCGCTTGGCACCATACCGCCAATTAAAGTCACCTTCCATCTTGAGGTTCCTTTCACCAGCTGTGGACTCTGAGGTTGGCCGAACTGCATCAAATGGCATGCGAAGTTTTTCTCTTCATCATTGCCTCTGCTGGTGATATTCCACCCGGCGTTTGTGAATTTTGTGTGGATTGGTACAGCAAGAGGATGCTTTCGTTCACCTCCTCTATGTCTCCCTCCCTCCTTGATTTGAGGAGAGCGCTTTTGAATGTATCCACAAACTCTGCTTTGCCATTCAATTGTGAGTGGAATGGTGGAGACCGCACGTGTCTGATGGCGCAGCGTTAACAGGATTCCGTGAATGTGGCTGAAGTAAACTGTGCTCCATTGTCCGTCACCAATGTTTCAGGGCAGCCAAACCTGCTGAAGATTTGTCGCAAACTCGAGAATGTTGCGCTGGTTTTCGTGTTTCTCATGAGGGGCACTTCGGGCCACTTGCTATAAGCGTCGACCATTATGAGAAAGTTCTGGCCATTGATTGAGCCTGCAAAGTTGACATGAACACGGCTCCAAGGTTTAGTTGGTTTAGGCCACGAGTGGAGTTCAGTCTTCGGCGGTGCCCTTGAAGCGGTAGCGCAGTTGCCACAACTTCTAGCTAGCTGCTCCAGCTGTCTATCCATAAACGGCCAATACACATAACTTTGGGCAAGCGCTTTCATTCGGTTGAGCCCTGAATGTCCTGAATGGAACTGCCGCAGCACTCTTTCTTGCAACGCCTGCGGGATGACTACTCTCTCTGAGAACATGACGCAATCGTTCACAATGGAGAGCGAATGTCTTCGCTGATAGAACTGCTTCATTTCGGCAGATGAACATAAATGTGGCCAAGTTGTTCTGTGGAAGTGTGTCACCTTCTTCAGGATTGGGTTTTGAAGCGTTTCGGCCCGCACAGCTTCGGCTGTAAATGGCATACCATGTAGTGCCTCGCTCACCAGGAATTTGACATCAGGTTCGATCTCAAATGAGGCAACGATGGTGTCCCCGTGTTTTTGCTGCTGGGGATCAATGAGGCGTGACAACGCATCTGTCTGGCCCATCGAATCCGTTGACTGATACCGGATTTCAAAATCACAGCCCAGCAAGTTGAGTGCCCATCGTTGGAGTCGATTGGAGTCGAGTCGAAAATGGCCAGCCCTCGGTAGCTCAGCGGTAGAGCAGCGGACCGGAAATTCGTGGGACCGGGGTTCGATTCCCCGTCGAGGCAGATTATTGTGCACAGTTTAATCGTGACTTCTACTTTCTACGAACCCTACGCTACTCACAAACACCTTTCAAGCATTTTCCTTTCATTAAATCGGTCAGCGGATTAATTATATCGGTACGAATTCCGCCGATGATCGAGTGCTTTGCTTGGCTCGTCTGCAACCATAAGATCACTGGTTCGAGTCCGCGTAGGGGTGGGTATCCTCGCGGTATACTCAACCCACGCGCTACTGGTGGCAGCTGCGTGGCAGCGATGCGCCGCTACGGCGTACAGCTGACACGTTATTATTATTATATTCCGGCACATTTGGGTATGAATCTGTCGTAATAGTTGACCATGCTGGGAAAATACATAGGCATCTGACAGATTGAGGCGTTGGGTAGTTTAAGATGGCTGGCGTTTTATTCGGTACGGTTTTAATACCGTCGCCGTTAATCCTGTGACCAAGTCAACTCAAGTCAAGAATTGCTTTATGCACCATGCATGTGTGAATATTCAGCTACAACACACACGATCTCGACAATTTACCCAAAAAGCAAATCAGTGGCAAAGCAATACGACAAAGAACGGGTAGCTAAGGAGAAAAAACATACGCAAGTTGAAAGTCGAATGGTTAAGTCAAGGATGACAGAGTTGGGATCTCGCAGAAGACGCGACAGGTAAAGGATGACTGACGAGCGGTAAGCTTGTGTGCGGGCATAGATTAGCTTTTACTTCTGCCTAGTAGGTGAAGTTGATAAACTTTCAGATAAGGCACTATGTAGGGGATGACTTGTATCGGTCAATATCTTAAAAGGCCAGCTTTTTAAAAGAACGTGTGTGTGTAGAAATAAAAGTGTTGGTAAAAGTAGATATCGGAACACCGCTACATCGAACAAAGTACTTTACTGATCTGACACATAACATGCTTGCCCAAAAGACCGGGAAAATATCACAGAGGAACAGTACGTCCAAGGGGGAAGAACACAGACATTGCATAGCGAACGATTAACTCACGAGGAACGCGGGAGGCTCTGAGCCGAGAGGCATAGAATGACAGCCTTTTGACTTTTGTGAAAGTTTCAGTTACTTAAAATGTCCAAGATAAATTGTAACTCAACGTCACACCCAGATATTTACTGATGTGGAGGACTGTAATCCGTCGCCGTCAATATGCAACTTGTTGCACAAGGTAAGGAGCTCCTCGTACCTGGCTCCTTTATGTAAGGAGAAAAGAATGTCATGGAACTTTGAAGCATTAAGAGAGAGATCACAGGCTTTGGACCAGCCATTAAAATCGTTCAGAGGCGCTTGTAGTCTGAATGAACAATCAGTGCTTTGGTGGTTGATGCCCAGAACGATATCGTCTGCATATCTCATCAAAGTCGCTTCAGTTGGAGCTGGCATAGAGCTGACGTAAGTACAAAACAAAATAGGCAACAGAATTGCTCCCTGAAGGACACCTGTGTTGGTGTTTGGTGGAGAGGAACATCTGCCACTAAGTCGGTTGATTTTAGTGCGTTCAGCATAATAATCACTCAGTAAATATATAATGGAGGGATGTACTCCATGACTAAGTAGGCCTTCTAGCAGTAATTCGCTGTGTGCACAGCCAAATGCATTGCTGTAGTCAAGAAAACAGATCGGGTTGCTTTATTCCTTTTCTCAAGTGATGGCAGTACAGAATGTACGAGGTAGGCCATAGCATCTAGGGTAGACCTCGAACTACAATAGGCAAACTGGAAGGAGTTCATAGAGCGTGTTCTGGACGGCATCATTTCGAGAAGGACTTTCTCTAGAACCTTTAAAGCGACGGAAGGGCACGCAATAGGTTTATATTTGTTGGATTCTTTTTTTCGGCACTGGTGTTATGTTGACACTTCGCCAACAGTCGGCTATTTTGTGTTGCTGCATACACATTGTGTATATAATCGCAAGAGGTGTTGCCAAACAATCGGTACGTTTTTTGAGAAAGATAGGAATAGCATGTACGGCGCACTAACTTTACCGGAACGTAGGACTTTCAGTAGATTTGCACTGTCAACCGGAGGCAGTGGTTCAGCAGACCCCAGCACTTTGGCACAGGAAAGCTCTGGAGTTGTATTATTATTGCAATTGCAGAACTGCTGATTCAATTTCTCTACATCTACATCAAAGTAGACGAACGTCGAGTAACTGCTAACCGTTTTCAGCATCCTCCAGAGTTCACGACCACTGCCGTTCCCAACAACAGACTGGACATACACTTTGTTAAGACGGTGTAGTTCTTCCTTAATGCGACCTGTGAGAGATCTTACTGGGGTGCCGTCTCTTTCTTTAAACGCTTTCTCCTTAAGGCGGCGTAGCCGCTTTACTTGGAGGGGATGGAAACCTTCAGAGTGGACGTAAATAGTTTCCAAAGGACAACAGATATCAAACCTGAAGTTTAAATAACTTGTCAAATTATCACAATACCTGGACATATCTGGGTCAAAGAACTAACTCAATTCCGTCGATGCGATCATTTCGCGAAGTCTGTCGAGATTTTGTGGGGAGCACTGTCTCCACCTGACCCTTCGAGTATTACAGCGAGTGGTTTGTTGGTGGTTGTTCTTGCTATATATGCCAGGTGAAAGCTTGATGGTTGAGTGATCAGAATTACCGATTGGAGTACGAGTACATAGGATGAACCACTTCACATTATTAACAAACACCAGGACCAAGGTAGCGTTTGACCTGGTGGGCGGATTGACAATGTTTCGCAACCCAAGAGCGGTGAGAAAAGTAGTGTCACATCTATTGAAGATGCACAGAGAACGATCGATGGACACTGACACCTGCAGTAAATTCATCATAGAAATTCTCAGCTTCAGGTTTCGGACAAGTGGGAGATATGTATATGTTAGCCAACAATATTGAACGGTAGCTATTCAAACACCTCGGCTTACGTTGTATTATTAAACAACTGATAAAGTTTGAGGAAAAGCAAAAACACGTTTTGTTGCAATGCACCAAGACGGATTGGTGTAAATAAGTAATCCACCACCTCGGTTTCGGTACATACATGGGCGATCTATTCGATGACAAATGAATTCTCCAACGGATACGACTGTATCATCCACTTCTTCATGGAGTCAGGTCTCTTGCAACGTAATGATTCCAAGCTGCGAAAACTCTTTTGAGAAAACTATGTTTGATAGTACATTTAATTTACCCATGAGCGAGCGGATGTTGGTGCTAGGCAATACTGGGACGCTCAGATCTCCCAATTTTCCCTTCGAAAAGTAACTCTCCATCCGGAACGAATTTTTCTAACAGAATTGGTACACTTCTTACGAATTCGTTTCAGTTTGTTTTTGATAACGCAACCGTTCAAAAATGCAAGAGTTACAAGCGTAGAAAAACGCAGCGATTTCAAAATGTCTAGCATCGCGGGACGAGTGATGAATTAAAACAAGAACCGCTAGAGCAAAAGCTAAAAAGTGAGAACGTGTGTGTTAATAAACTTTAGAGAGGAATAGTAGAGCACGGCCAAACTTGAAGGCCCCGCCAAGAAACTCAACGCTGAGTTGGCCAAATGTGCATTTGGTTAGCTTGATTGTTATACCATGGTGTTCGAAGCTTTCGAAAAACATTCGAAACTGTGCCAAATGCTCGTCACTTGTGACGCTTGCTGTGAAGCCATCGCCTTTGTAGGCGTAAACAAAATAAAGGCAACGAAGAACTTGATCCATAAAGCGTTTGAAGGGTCATGCTGCGTTACGGAGGCTTTAAGTCAAACGAAGAAATTCCAATAGGCCAATAGGGGTAATCACGGCATTCTTCGCAATATCTTCCATTGCCTTAGGGATTTGATGATAGCCTCTGAAAAGGTCAAGTTTGGATAACAATGACTTTCCGGTAAACCCAAGGGGTAGTGTTACGGAGGCGAAACAGCTGACTACGATGGTGCACACTAGCAGGGCGAGATCGGCCAGATCATGTGAGCGGCTGACAGACTCGTTGTCATGGTCAAACCGGAAGCTGACGAAATCAGACCGTCGTCGCCGCACGGGTTGCTATGTCGCGGACGTGATCCTACCTACAGTCAGAGAGAGATGACCGCTACCAGAGTCGAATATGTTCAGACAAGCGGTGTGACTCACCTCAGTGATAGAGGCGAGGTAAGCGCATGTGACCCATAAAAGTAGTCATGTTTTGTGCCTAATATAGTTCGGTCTAGCAGGCTCGGCGTTTTGTTTTCCCCGGCTGGTTGGTAGCACAGAGAGGCAGAGAGAGTCAAAAGGGCAGCGTTACAACAGTGGCGACGAGAGTTCAATCGAACCCATAATGGCAGTCAGCCTTGAACAATTGCAAGCACTTTTACAGGAGCAGCAGACGCAGTTCGAAAAGTCACAGAGGCAGTTGATGGCAGTGCTATCACAAAAATTAAACATTCAAGCAGAATGGGGACTGGAAGTGAAGTTGACATCGCAAGAAATTGTTTCAGAACGTCAGAAGTTGCTCAAATTGACTCCTGCTGCAAATGTGGTCGCAAATTCAGAAGCTATGGAGAAGCAAAACTTCTGCCACACTGCCACTTCAGTATCAGATGTGCTTATCAGACTTAAGGGTGCGACGACAGAAATCAATGGCAGTCAGATTACACAGGTGCAAAGGCGTCACGAACCAATGCTCCAACCTGGTCCAGAATGCTGCAGAATCACCAGTGCTGCCCTGAACCTCAAGCCAGCCAAAAAACCAGTATCCAGAGCAAAACGCGTTGTGCTAATCAGGAAAGAAAAGCATTGCAGTTGTCATACGGGGGAAAGTCAGACAGACAGGGTGTGTCATTGCAGAATTGGTGACAGGGGGTACGCGCGAGAGTTCCTAGGACCGAAGAGGTGGTCAAGCTGAAGGGTGATACGCAGAAATGGTGGAGTCAATTACGAACTAACGGTTGGAAACAAGAAGTGGATCAGGCACGCAGAGCAGCGGAGACCGAACCACGGAAAAACACAAGGGCCCGCAGACAACATATATCGAAGAGCGGCCGGAAGGAGAAGAAAACCACCAAGGCAACTGATTTATGTCAAAACAAAGTGAGGTGAATTGACGCAAGTACGCATGGTGGGGAAGCAGCCTCAATTCGGAGGAGGAGGTGTTACGGAGGCGAAACAGCTGACTACGATGGTGCACACTAGCAGGGCGAGATCGGCCAGATCATGTGAGCGGCTGACAGACTCGTTGTCATGGTCAAACCGGAAGCTGACGAAAACAGACCGTCGTCGCCGCACGGGTTGCTATGTCGCGGACGTGATCCTACCTACAGTCAGAGAGAGATGACCGCTACCAGAGTCGAATATGTTCAGACAAGCGGTGTGACTCACCTCAGTGATAGAGGCGAGGTAAGCGCATGTGACCTATAAAAGTAGTCATGTTTTGTGCCTAATATAGTTCGGTCTAGCAGGCTCGGCGTTTTGTTTTCCCCGGCTGGTTGGTAGCACAGAGAGGCAGAGAGAGTCAAAAGGGCAGCGTTACAACAGGTGGTCATGGGTATGAAGGATGTGATATCTATCCGGAATGGTGACATTATTCAGTGCTCGATAATCACAGCATGGTCGCCAATCACCAGAATTCTTAGACACCAAATGGAGGGCGGATGCCCAACAGCTGTGTGAATACAAATGATCCAGAGATGTAGAATGTGCTTAAATTCTTTTTCAGACGCTTGTAGTTTTCCAGGGCGTAGTTAACTGGGTTTGGCGGTTACTGGCGGACCAGTTGTAACGATGTGATAACGGACATCGTGTATAGTTTCTGAGATGTTGTTACCTGTTTGAATTAGCGACGGGACCTGCCCTAGCAACAAAGAGTAGGACGAGCAGTCGGGTATGAGAATGCGGATCACGAGGGAGTTGACTGGAGAAAGTTAGCAGGAGACGCTTAACGACGTTTTATCGTCACGTAGTTCCTCGCAACGCGGCTCGATCACAAGACCGAACTTGCTGAGATAGTCGATTCCAATGCTGGGCTTTTGGATATAAACGATAGTAAATATGAGGGCTAAGTTACGCCGTAATCCAAGGCTTAAAGGGAGAAGCTTCCGGTCAAAAGTCGCGGTTTTAGTCTACTTGGTTGCCTGTAGCGTTACTCCAGCGGGTTACAGGAAGCGTTTTTCTAGAGAATGGGGTAGAACGCTCACATTTGCACCAGTGTCAACCAAGAACTAAAGTTTACCTGTTGAGTCAAATACATACACGAGGCGACTGATGATCTGGCCAGCGACAGCCGTCGCCATTCCAGACTGGCTTTGTCGTTTGCCAACGTAAGTTAGCATCCTGAGCGGTAGTTACATGCGGCGTCTTCGAATCGGTAGTAATAATAACAATACCGGCGCGACGGCCGTGTGCGAGATTTACTACGGTGTCTGGTTCTAGTAAAAGATCTTCGCAATGGGACACGATCACGTCTGGGATGAGACAGACTGAGCTCTAAGTTGGAAAGTCACATCAATAGAATCATGCAACTAGACCGCAGTAGAGTTGGTATAACTTGTTTCGGTTACGTTAGATACAAAAATTTTAATAGTAGGTTCGTAGTAGTAGGTTGACAGCTGATTTTCTCAGCTTGTCTGAGGAAGATCATTAGCGAGAACAGCCAGAACAGCCGTGGTATTTGCAGGCAGGTAATTTCTCCATAGTTGAAGGTGAACGGAATCGTCCAGGATTGAAGACCCGGCGAGTGAACGCATATGTCGAAGAAACTGGAACAACGTTCAGTCTCCGAGCTCGATGCCAGAGAGTAAAAGTTGGAGGCGTGCTTCGTGTGAATCGCTTTAAATTAGCTGCCTTAAGTTTATTGTAGGGTAACTCTAAATGCATGGAAACGAGAATGTCACTGACAACAGAAGCAATATTAGATGGCAAAGGTGCAGTCACGTATGAGAGCACGGAAGACTGAGGGGTAATCCTGCGGAAACGGAAAATAGCTTCTGATTGAACAAACAACACGCTAGGATTAGAAACGTTGAATGAGGGCAATGCGACACCAAGCGAATTTTCCGACGGATTAACATTACGGGATGGTCAGACATTGTGAAAAGAAAAAAAACTATGCAAAAGAGGAATGAAAGTGCTGGGTCACTACTTATGTAGGAACTGCAAAATAAAAATGCCAAGTTAGTAAAAGAATACGTTCACTTCACACAGATAGCTCCTATTTTTATTCAGCATAAGACGAAAAAGGAAGCATGTACTATGCTGGGGTTTTCGCACGGATATTACGACAGCCGATCAGTCAGGCGGCCGAGCACACAATTCACAACAACTAGTAGCAAGCAATACAGTACTATGCGAAGACGAACTTGGAGAAGTTATGTTGCTTTGTAGTTAATGAAAACAAGGTGCACATGGACTACAGCGAACTTGGAAAGCGCAAGCAAGCATACTATAAGCAAATTGTATACAATTATTACAAGCTTGCCGTTCATCTCTTTGTCTCAATCTGTCACCTAATGCTAAATTACGGAATGGGTGGCATGCCGAACAAACTCCACGTGCTGCCTGAGGGTTGTTTCGGGTTTATCCCGTATCAGCAAATGGTTTGCCGGCAGTGTTCCAGGAAGTGGTGGGTTTTTGTCTGGCAAAATTTCTCCCCATAAAAGCCACATATGTCCGTTTAACAATACCGCGACGTGGCGGACGTGACTCCCTACTAAATAAAGTGTACCGCTTGCTTCACTATAGTGGAGTATTGTTTTCAGCAAAGTGATGCTGAAAGTGTGGGGAGGATTGAGCCTCTGTTTGGCAACCGACCAAAAGAAAGACACATGAACGGCGGCGTCAGTCACCGGCTC